ACAAATGATTTTGCCCTCACACTTGCATTGCCTACTAAGAAAGTTAGTAGCCAGTAGTCATCAGGTTAAGTAGTCTGCAACTACTAACACATATTTGTTTCTTTTGTAGGCAATGGGCCTAATATGTCCATAGCCACTAGCAGAAAAGGTGTCATTAGATTCGGCATTCTTTTTAGGGGAGGATTCCATAAAGTGTGGACTCGTTTCTCGTTTTTGACATTCTAGGCATGAGTCACAATAATCTTTAATATCTCTTCTCATGTTGAGCCAAAAGAATCTCTTACTTATCCTACTGTATGTTTTAGCAAAAGCTAGGTGTGCCACGAATGGTGTGTCGTGATATGTTTTCATAACTTTAGTTTTTATGTCATGTGGTACAACTATTTGTAATGACCTGTTATCCTTAACCCTTTTACATAAGATATTTGAATCTAACGTGTACTCTGTATCTTCTTGTAATACTTTGTTTCATAAGGCATTTAATACTGGATCTTGCTTTTGCTCACTACTTACACAATCTAACTTCCAAATTATTTCTAACTCGTTTTTATGTTCAATTTGTACTTCTTTTACTTTGTTAATTGTCTATTTTTTTTCAGTTTCTGTATTTTATATCCTAATTCCACCCAGAGCATCAACATTTGAATGCTTTCTGCCTGGTCTATGTACTATTTCAAAATCATAATCCTGTAGTAATAATGACTGTCTTGCTAATCTAGAAGGGTCTTTTAATGTAATTAACCATCTTAATGGTGCATGATCTGTAATAATAGTGAACTTTCTACCATACAGATAACAATAGGAAGTTTTAATTCCATGCACTATCGCTAAGCATTCCTGTTCTGTAACTGAATAATTTAGCTCAGCTTTTCCTAACTGTCTACTCTAAAAAGCTATGGGGTGTTCTTTTCCATTTTCATCTGTGATAATACTGCCCCTATAGTGAAACCTGAAGCATCTGTGCTTAAGATAAACTCTTTATTGAAATCTGGGTAATTGGTGCTAGTAATAAAGCTTCCCTTAGTTTCTTGAATGCTTACTGTCTTTTATCTATCCACTAAAATTTTCTTTCTTTTTTAGTTAATTCATTTGAAGGCTTTGCCAGCAGTGCAAATTGCAGTGTAAACCTTCCATAAAATCCTACAAATCCTTCAATCCATGAACATCTTTTACCATTTTATGAGCTGGATAATTCTTACAAACCTCTAACATTTTCAGATCAGGTTTTACACCATCTGCAGTCACCAAATGACCTAACTATTCTACTTCTTTTTTCAAAAACTGACATTTATTTGGTTTCAGCTTTAAATTTACTTTTCGTAATCTATCAAATACATGCCTTGATCTCTCTAAGTGTTCTTCAAAACTTGCTGTGAATACTATAACATCATCTAAATAACAGAAACACTCTGAGTCTTGCAAGCCTGATAATACAACATCCATTCATCTCTGAAATGTTGAAGGGGCATGCATAAGGCAAAAGGCATTCTATTAAACTGATATTTACCTGAAGGTAATTCAAAAGCAGTTTTAGCTTTATCTTCCTCTTCTGTCTCTACCTGCCAATATCGACATTGTAAATCCATAGATGAAAAGTAGTTGCTCTTACCTAACCTATCTAATGTTTCTTGGATATTAGGTAATGGGTAAATGTCTTTGACTGTTACTCCATTCACTTTCCAAAAATCCACACAGAATCTTTATTTCCCATCCTTTCTAGGAACTAATACAACTGGAGATGCATATGGACTACTACTGTCCTCTATTACTCCTTGTTCAAGCATCTCTTTTACACTTTCTTTAACTCTACCTTTGATGTGGTTAGGGCGTTTGACTCACATTCTGAGGGTCACGGGTTCGAATCCCATCCCACTAAACATGCTCACCCTTTCAGCCATAGGGCATTATAATGTGATGGTCAATCCCACTATTCATTGTTAAAAGAGTAGCCCAAGAGTTGGCAGTGGGTGGTTATGACTAGCTGCATTCCCTCTAGTTTTACACTGCTAAATTAGGGACAGCTAGCACAGATAGCTGTTGTGTAGCTTTGCATGAAATTCAAAACAAACTAAACCAAACTCTACCCTTTGTTTTTCTGGCACTCTAAAGGGGCTCTGTGCTATATGCTTATTATCACTCAACACTATCTTGTGTTTAACTGTATTTGTACAATCATTAGGGTCATTTTCTTTTACAAATATATTTCTATACTCTTCTAACAATGTTATCAAACCCTGTTTATGTTTATTTTCCATATTTCCTAAGATAGAATCCCACTCTATCCTACTTTGTTGTACCTGTTTCTTGATATTCTTAACATTATGCTGTCCTACCATAGCTAATTGTTCTCTACTACTAGCCTTACCTATTACTAGGTTCTTAGATAATAATACTTTATCTT